GCCCTCCATCTCTCATCTCACCCCAGGGCGTTCTTGCTCCATCTCCCCTCAGCGCCTTCCCTTCCACCTCACCTTCCCCCTTCACCTCTCCTCCCCTCAGCACCTTCCTCTCCATCTCACCACTGCCTTCCCCATTCCTTTTCCCCTCCACTTTCCTCAACACCCGCCCTTCAGCGAGGTCTCCAGGGCAGCCATGGCACAGTGGCAAGCCTGGGCCTGCCTGCTTGGCCAGGGGCCCCACGCCATTGCTCTGTGTGAACAACCCTGTCCAGCACAGGTTTCCTCCCCAGTGCCCCTCTGCATATGTAAGTACTGGGGCTTGCCTGAGGTAATATGGCCACCCCAGAAAGTATTGGCTTGTCCGAGGTAGTACAGCCCTGGCAGCAGGTGAAGTATTGCAGGGCTGCGAGGTTTGCAACACAGTGCTGCTGCAGAGGGAAAAAATCAAAGCCGAATCCATTGCAGGGAGACCAGCTATTGGGGTCCTTCCCACCCCTTCATAGTACCTCAGCCCTGTAAATGAAGGGAAACTCCCCTCTCCCTCCCCTCCCCTCCGCCTTTCCCCACATCAGAGCAGTGAAGCTACATGTGAAACAGCTTCTGAGATGGCAATACCTCTCCCGAGTGTTTTGGGGCTGGCGCGATCCTCAGATCTCCTGCCCTTGCTGCTGTGTTCGTGGTGGTGACCATTTTAACAGCCTCACCAGTGAGGGGGATTAGTGCCTCTCCTTCAGAGGTGAGCCTGGATGAAAAGCATTCGCAGGAACTCTAGCAACAGTTGCTGAAGCAATGCACTGCTTATTTGTCATCCTCTCCCTGGAAATAACGTGAGGTTTAATCCTGGTTTGGTTGCGTTCTCCCCCTGCCTGCCTGCCTCTTTCCTTCTCTCGTCCTGATCTATTTAGATGTGAAATTTGGCAGACGCTCGTGGTTGCATTCAGACAGGTTGTGATGAAATCAGGCTCCCGGGAGGCTGCTCCCACAGCGGATACCTGGGCTGCAGGCAGCACTTCTCCGACTGCCGCTAATGGTCTGATTTCAAAGTGTCAACAGCAGGGGTTTCGTAGTGATGGTTATTACTAATGCTGTACA